ATCAACGGCAGAGGGACCATGTTTTTACCGCCACCTACAGGTGAAGAAGGGAAGTGCAGCATTGAGTTTTGTAATTACAGGGAAAGATTTATGGTCATTTCACAGTTTTTTTAAATTTATTTATTTGTTATTTATTTATTTTTTACATTTACACTACTTCATCGAATTTGTGAGCCAGAAAAACTGTAAAAATGAGGTCCAGACATTTGTTAAAATATGTAAACAGAATAATATTAAGCCAAAAGTAAAAAAAAAAAAAAAAACTTTTTTGAGTTTCTGGTGTTTYTTGAGAGTAATCTTTGCCTCTCTGGCCTTACAGACCCTAAAAGATCAGACATAAGGTGAGTGCTCACCTTGATCAATTATTAAACATGATAATATCRATTACTGTTTGCCCGTTTTAGCTGTTACCATAGCAGAAGCTCATCTATTATTGAGCCGGAGTGTAGTAGTTGTGCTCGGGGTATTTTCAGATCGTTGTAACACTTCAGCGAGGATTTTATGGTTTGATAGCAGAGTTCCCCTYTGGAGTTTTCTCTGAATGGGAAGCGGAACATGTGAGTCATTCTTGGGTTTCAATGGAAGGCCCGAAACTGAAACAGGAGAAAGAAAAGTCTGGCAAAACCGTCCGGTTCAGAGTCGCGTCCGCCAACAGTGGCCGGGTGCTGGCCGAGGTGTTCAAGGATGAAAGGACCTGGTGCGGATCGGTTTCGGAATCGGTGGACTCTGACGGCACCGGCAGCACTGAGGGGGAGCAGGTTAGCTCGCTGCCCGCCGCCGTCAGCGAGGCCAACCGGCACCTGAGCGGGCTGCCTGCTCCGGTGGACKACAACGACGCAGGCGGCGCCGGCGAACCGGACGACCTGCTCCTGTACGCCAGCGTGAAGAGAGAGATGACGTTCAGCAACAAGAGGATCAACATCTGCAGCAAGAACGGGACCATTCGGGGCGTGAGGAACAAAGTGAGCGCGGGACAAGTGCTGTTCAACCACCTCTCCAACGTGTACTCGGTAAGTTCAATGATTCCTCCAGGAGATGACAGAATCAGGGAGAAATTAGTTCTCATGGAGTCAAGCTATCAGCTAACAGAGACGCTAAAAGAGCAAAAATCGACTTTAATTATTAAAGTTGTTTAAAGAAAGTCTGTCTGAGCCAATAAAACCACTAATAATAAATCTAATTTGTGATGACAGGTGATTTGTTTGATCTTTAATGATTTCCCTCGTTAAAATTAACTAAATGCATCCAACTGTTCCCAAAATGTTTAAAACGCAACCACTCATGATTAGTTGTTAGCTTTGTCTCCAAATTTGACTTGTCTGCCACAGATAAGACACTGACTGCTCAGACTTACTCCACACCGTCTTTTTTAGGCAAAAATTTAGAAATATAGTTTAAACAGTTTAACTGTTATTCTCCATCTTGCAGGGTTCCCATCGACAGAGGAGGAGGCCCTGGGAAAAGGAGTAAAGATGGACTATTTTTTATTAAATCCGCTGCAATAAAAGCCCAAAACTTAGTGAAATATTACAAAAGAAATGAGGTAAATCAAGAAGTCACTGAACAAACTCGATTTATTATTTTGTAACATTTTTGTCCATATTTTAACAACGTTCATTGCATACATCAACATTTATTTAAAATTCAAAAATATAATTTTGATGCTTTCGCATCACGGGCTTCAGTGTTTTTCATAAGTGCAAGTTTAAATAATAAAATTCAGAATAAAGATTTTTAGGACGAAACACCAAATTGCAATAATTCCCAACAGTTATAAACTTTGTTTCATAAACATTTCAGGTTTCATGAGCTTGAAACAAAAATGTTTTTCATAAAAGTTTCTTTAATGTCCAGAGGCTCTAAAAGCCGTTGTTTTTGTATTTTCTTTTATATAAAATGTAAAATTTAATGTGAACCAGAACGTTGTATGATTTTTAGATGCCATCGAAGTCTGAATGTCGTGATAACATTTTGTAATTTCTTCATGCTAGACTGGATAAACTTTAATTAAAATAAATGTTTTTTTGTAATCATCACAATTCAGTCTCAGTGAATTTCAACTGTCTGACTAGCTGTGGCGGTCATCTTGAATCGAACTGGCTCCAAAATTTATTCAGTTGTACAAGCGTATCATGTGTTTATTTCCTGAAAGTTTAATTCAAATCAGCCAATTAATTCACAAAATATTTTGCTAACAGACAGAAGTGACAACAGAGCTCTATTTTTAAGCAGAGACCTGATGCACTGAGTTGGTCCTCAGAGTATGTGTTAGGTATGACTCTCAGCTACAATCTTGACTAATTTTAGCTCATAATGAGAAAAATTAACTGAATTATAGCCCTTTTTGTGTTTTCTAGATTTAGTTGGCTGCGGCGGCCAGTTTAAATCAAACTGACTCCAAAGTTTAATAAGCTGTGGACATATATCCAGTTACTATTTCCTGAGAGTTTTATTAAAATCTGTCCAGTGGTTCGTGAGATGTTTTGMTAACAGACACAAAGGCAAAACCCCTACACAGCAGGTGATGTTTATTCAATTACGTTTAATTGAAGGGAAACATCTATTCACGAAAATCTGTAGCTTTTCCGTTTTGATCTGACGGAACCAAACGAACCGACCAACAGGTTCGGGTTAGTGTCAGATCACGCAGCTGCACCTGCTTCTTACGCGGACGGTGGGTCTCGATCCTCCCCGCGGTCCCCGCATCATCCTGCGGCACTGACAGCTGAGGGCACCGCCTCGGGGGTGGAGGTGGTGGGGTGTTCTGGACGAGGAAACACCGCCCGCCCCGCCGCCGGGATGATCCCATCATTTGTCTGAGAAATGAAGGACAGCCGGGGCGCAGCGGCTCGTCTGGGATGAGAGACGCTGCGGCGAAAGGTGGAGACGCTTCTTCCTCATCTTCCTCTTCCTCCACGCTCCGCCGCCGTCCAGCACCATGTCTCCTCCGGCGTCCGCGGCCACGGCCGCTGAAAGCAGCACGACCACCGTCTTCGAGGAGGACAGCAGGGAGGAGGTGCGGGGGGTGTGGAAGRGGGGCTGATTTCTAACAAAAACACGTTTCTGTTACAGGTTTGGCGCAGAGCTTTGATGTTTCCAGCGCGTGCTGTGCGTGCAGGCTGCAGCAGACCCACTAATATTCATTTATTTATTTATTTATTACACACAAATCCCTCTGTCTTATGTTTTGGCACGAGGAAAATTAATTGTTGATCATTTTTTAGTCTAAAATCTAAGACAAGAATATTTAATCAGGCAGCACCTTTTCCTGCAGCAGGCCTGAAAATCATCAGAGAGAAAAAAAAAACAGCTATTAGAGCTGAAAGACATGAAGCCTCCTCTGATTCTTCCATAAATGAAACACCTGATCGTTAATATTTGGTTGGGAAAGTTTGAGGTCTATTTGGCGTTATGTTGCAAAGAGACGAAAACATTCAAATAAATGAATATATTGGAAATGTGGTCCTCCAGCAATTTGAGCCTAATGGCAGAACTAAAGGATAACTCATGAAACTCACAACTATAGGATTTATTAAAAAGGAACGTTTTAAATCAGAAATTTGGTGCCACAGAAGAGGAGCCTGATACCAGACAACAATTATAACAATCGCTGCTCTTTTTATTGACTTGTCAAAGGCATTYAACACCATGGATCATTCCAGCCTCTGTCAGGAGCTCTCAGAGATATCTCTTAAAGCGAACTGTCAGTTGGTTTTTCAAATTATCTATCTGGATGTAAAAACGCAGTGGTCTGTCATTTGAAAATGATTTAAGGTGTCCCACAAGGTTCCATTCTGGGTCCTTTACTGTTTTCATTTTATGTCAGTAATGTTATCAAGGCCAGCGTTTATACGCCGATGACACCGTAATCTATCGTCAGTGTATTACTGCCTCTTGAGCGTCTGCTGTTTGCTTTCTACTCCGTCCAATCAGTTTTACTTCAGCTTAAACTCGCTTTTAGTACAGATTAAACAAAGTCCTGTTTGCAAACAAAAACAAGAGCCAAGAACTGAAACTGTCCATTTTGATCCCACATTTTTTGGTTTGGTTTGGTTACTTCATTTATACCAAAAAGGTAAATTCGTATTGCAGCGGTACAAAGCATATGTATCATACACACACAGCTATGTGGGGATTTCTAACCATTTCTACAGACTAACCCTGACCACAAACCAGGCTAACCTCACAGGTACCTGACCCTAAAACTAACCTAAACTCAATTCACACCTTGGTCCTAAACTGAACCCACCAATGGCATTTAAATCAAATGTGGACTCGACTTAGGTCCCCAAATGTAGGCATTTTGTCTTAAAATTGCCCCCAAATGTCACCAAAAACAACCCCCCCTCCACACACACACAATTACAAGAAATAAAAACACATTAGCAAGAAGAACCATTCCTATAGTGCTTGAGGCTCCACATATCAAATTCAAATCAAAACGACGTGAAAAAGAGAAATAAAACTAAAAATAGGCTTAACATAAATAACAAGTTAAAAAAACACTTTAGATCAAATCCAATATTGAACCACTGAAAACGTCTGTCACTTCAGATTGTTCATTTCAGTAACAGCAGTGGGAACAAAGCTGTTTTAAAAAACGTCTTGTCCTACATTTGGGGACCAAAATGTAGCACATTTTAAAGAAAATGAAAAAAGTCATAATTTTAAGCCTGTTCTTGTTTTTAGATTTAGGTTTGGTAAACTTTGCTCTCTTTTAAATGCCAACATGTTTTAGGATTTTGACGTAACTGATGTGTGTGTCTACCTGTCTCGATGAAATTACCTGTCCAAATAAAAGTAAAGCCTTTAGGAACCACAAGTAAACCTGCAGAGATCGAAGTGCTCCAGGAGAGTTGAGTGCAAAAAAAGTTTAAATGAATATAATGTTTTGTTTTTCTTTCTTTCTTTCAACAGCAGAGAACCCTGAAACAATCCCTGAGCAAGTCTTTGTGTCGGGAGAGTTTCTGGAAATGCCTCCTGCTGTCCATCCTCATGTACGGCTGCATGGGGGCCATGGTTTGGTGCCAAGTCACCAAAGTCACCCACCTCACCTTCAACAGCGCCTTCAAAGGGAAGTCCATGATGTACCACGACAGCCCCTGCTCCGACGGGTACATCTACATCCCCTTGGCTCTGCTGGGCATGCTTTACCTGGTCTACCTGGTGGAGTGCTGGCACTGCCACGTGAAGAACGAGCTGCAGCACAAGGTGGACGTCGAGGGCGTCTACGAGCGCATCCAGAGGATGCAGCAGGCCAAGCCCTGCATCTGGTGGAAGGCCATCAGCTACCACTACGTCCGCAGGACCCGGCAGGTCACGCGCTACCGGAACGGCGACGCTTACACCAGCACACAGGTCTACCACGAGCGCGTCAACACCCACGTGGCCGAGGCGGAGTTCGACTACGGCCACTGCGGAGTCAAAGATGTTTCCAAACAGCTCCTGGGCCTGGAGAAGTCTCCCCTGACCAAGATGCGCTTCACTAAGTGCTTTAGCTTCGCCAACGTGGAGTCGGAGAACTCGTACCTGACGCAGAGGGCAAGGTTTTTCACCGACAACGAGGGTCTGGATGATTACATGGAGGCCAGAGAGGGCATGCACCTGAAGAATGTTGACCTGAAGGAGTACGTCCTGGTGCTGGCGGACCCTGAACATCACCCCTGGTACCTGTCCCACTACGTCTTCTGGTTTGCCTCGTTCCTCACGTTCTCCTGGCCTCTCAGAGTCTTCACGGAGTATCGCACTGCCTACGTTCATTACCGCGTCGAGAAGCTCTTTGGTCACGATTACCTTCCCGTCACACCTTGCGACGACCGACCTTACTGGCGTCGGATTCCTCGCGTCAACACCATCGACAGCACCGAGCTGGAGTGGCACATCCGCTCCAACCAGCAGCTGGTCCCCAGTTACTCCGAGGCCGGCCTGATGGACCTGGCTCAGTGTCCGTCCAGCTTTGGCGGGATCCGTCAGAACTGCGAGCGGTGCCACCGGGCCATCAGCTGCTCGTCTGTTTTCTCCAGGAGTGCCCTCAGCATCTGCACCGGCGCCGGCTCCCGCCTGCCCTTCAGCGGCAGCCGCTTCTCCCTGGCGCGGCGCTACGGCTCCCAGAGGAGCTGCTTCTGGAGGAGCGGCAGCCTGGACGACCAGGAGAGCCCCGGCGAGAACACCCGCTGCCTGTCGGAGCGCCACGCCGCCGCCGACGATGAGGGGGAGCCTCCGCACTACGAAGACGCCCTCTGCTACCCCGTCCTCATCGTCCACTGCAGCGAGAACTGCCACAGCCACAGGTCCTTCCACAGAAACAGCTCCTGTGTGGAGACGTCTTTATGACTCACCGGTAGCATTAAAAAAACACTTTAGAGATCAGAATCATCAGAGCAATAACAGCAATCGATGGATGCAGAACGAAGTCGTAGAGATCACCAGCTCGACTTCTGGGGAAGATAAAGACTGTTACGCCGTCGCCATATTTGGATATCTCATGTGGTGCATGAAAACTGAAGCTGCAGTTACCATTCGACCTACGCAGGAAAGGACAGGACTCAACGTTTCATTTTCTTTCACATTTCAAAAACACAGATGCTTTTGATGATGAAACAAAAAAAATGGTGCAGACCTTACTGTAAGAAACAAAAAAATTAAAGCAATAAAACACGTACTCTCAGTTTAAAACCCAATGAGGATTTACAAATATAGGGTGACAAGTGTAAAATAAAATGTAAAAAAATGCACTAACATATTTTCATTATATAGCTCACTTTTTGGGTGTGAAAAAAAATCCACTAACATTTTGTTATTCAGCTCAATGTTTTTACTTTTCTTATTTTTACTAAAAGTTCAATTTAAATGGTAAATGATATACATTAAATCCTAAATCTGAATGTAAAAGTTAAATCTTAAATGTTATGGCTCAATGTAAAAGTTTTCATTAAAGCATTTTGAATGGAACGTTCCTTTGCTGTTGGTGCATGGCTATTGTTATGACATCATCATCCAGCGACAAACGCTAACACTACACCACCGCTAACACTGCTAACTTTGCTAATTCTACTGAAGATAGCATTTAAAAAATTTATTCGCGTGTTTATTGAAAACAATATGGATGGTTCCTGTGAACCGTTAGTTTGAAATGCAGCTCAGACAGAAGTTGGATATCTTATAGGTTAGCRACATCAGCAGTAGCGCAGTAGCAGYAGCATCAGTATCAGTAGCAGCGTTAGCGGTTGCTTTTGTCACAGGATGATGACATCATGACCCTTGCTCCAATAGCTGCATTCCATTACAAAATACTTAAATGTAAACTTTATTGTTTAACTACAACATTTAAGATTTAATTTAAAATTTAAATTCTAGACACATGTAACATTTAAATTTAACATTTAGTAAAAAATGTAAGAGTAATGACTTAAATAACAAAATGTCAGTGGATTTCTTAAACAGCGATTTTACACACAAATAGAATGTGTTGGTGACATTTTTTAAAGATTTTATTTTACACTTGGTGTCCCATACCCAAATATTGAAAAAAATAAACTGTAATTTAATGTTCACTTAATCAAACAACACACTTTTTTCTTTTAAATTCAATTTCAGTTCCTCAAAATATCCAGATTTGCAAAAAAAAAAAAAAAAGTATTGGAAATTAAACTAAATGTGTTTCTTCTTCTTAATGGTTATCAATGTAAATTTCTGTTTTGTTAACTATGTAAATCTGATGGCTTGACTGTTTGGTGCTACATGGCAGCTTGTGATAAAAACCTCCACTATTTAAATTATTTAAGGACAATTTTTGAGGATGAATTATTTGAAATAAAAAAAATACATGAACTGTTTGAACATTTGTCTAAATTTTCTTCACAGAAACATCAACCTGTCAGTAAACTGAAGAAAAAGAACAATTACTGGTTGACAGTGAACCTACGGAAAATAATAATAAAATGGAAAATAAAAATACGGCATGGAGGAAAAGATCAAATATTAAAGGCCTTGCCTGAGTTATTTGCATGATTTCTCTCTTCAGAACAAAACTTTCATGAATGTAAACCCACCAGCATCTAATCTGTGTTCACCATGTGGTGGAATAAATGAACAACTTTCAGTTTTATTTATTTTATTTAACTGTGGGTGTTTAAGGTGTTCCAGAGCGTCACAAAGCTGCCGAAACAGACTGTAAATCTTGTATTTGTGTCTCCGATAAATGGATTTTACAGACGGTTTATATGCAAACATGTAGTTCACACATACATCACCATTTGAACTTTTTAAAACATGAAAACATGTATGCATTCATAACATCCTGTAGTATGCACCTGAAGCAACCAGATAGTAAATAATAATAATGTAAAAGGTTAAAAAAAACCACTGGTGTTAAAATAAAATGGGCTCTATTGATCACTCAGTTACCTTTCTAAAATATGTATCTGAATTTATGCTGGAAACCTTTTATTTGCAATAAATATTTGATGGATAAAGAATGTTTTTGTCTTCATTGTTTTTTTTTTTTGAAGGAGGAATAAGTCAAAATCAAACTTTCTTCCATTAAAAAATATCTTCTGATCATTTATATGGAAGCCCATTTCCGCCACCCTGATAAAAAAATAAATAAAACTTGTATCTCATAATTATGACTT